ATAAACGTCCAAATGCCAAAAGCATATACGAACGACTTAACGAGAACATAATAATCACAGGAACCACATTTAGAGGGAAGGAGAGATGCTGTATTAAGCATCCTCATAATTTATTCACATCAAATAATCCGGGTGTGAGTATAATAGAAAACCTATCTGACTCGTTGGATTCAGACATAAGTGGTATGTTTATTATATTTTTTATTAATCGTTAGTAAGTAAATTATTGTCACGCTAATTGATTAACCTTTCTAATAGACGATGAAAATTAAGTGGATTGACACACATATAGTATATGCTTTTACCTTTTACTATGTTTCGTTTCTAAGGAATCAATCTACATTTCCTTCCGTTGATTATGCTTTAATTTATGGTTACTTAAGTAAAAATTTTTTATTTCTTTTAAAAATTACGTTATCGAAAGAAAACATTACCATATTATAACACAAATTTTTGGTTATATAAACTTCGAATCACAAACATATTTTATAATATTTGAAACTCGTCCATTATTAAACAAAATAAATACGGATATAAAGTTGACTTTATTTTAAAATTTTATCACTTAATATTTTGCTATATAATAAAAAGATTCAAATCATTAATATACTGTATATGGTTTCTCGTAAAATTTATTTCGCACAAGACGTCGTAAAACAACAAGTCTGCCATCCCAATGTATATTGTCACTAGTTAATATTAATACACGTTTCTGGTTTGGTTAATAAAAGCTGCAATAAAACTTATTTCATTAATCTTGCAACTTTCTTATTTAGTATATTCATCCTTGTACTGTATAACGAAGTCTACTTTATCTATTTATTTAAGTTTATCATATTGTTTGATGACCATTATTTTTTTTAAGAGAAAAATGTAAATTATTATTTTAACATAAAAAACATCAATAATTCCAATTGATAATTTTTTAAAGCAACAAAAAATAAAATCAATTTTTTTTTTTATAAATATTTATTCAAATGATCTAATGGTTTAAATATAAATCAAAATAATAATAATAATTGAAATAATTGAATCTATTTGAGTATATTTAAATTTTTTATAAAAAATTTGATTGTAATTTTGTTAAATAGTAAATGGAATATACTTTATATGGTATTTTTAATATATAAATATATATAGTATGTAAAAAAAAAATTGTAAAAAAATTTTTTTTAAATTTAATATTTATTATTAAATTAATTAATAAATAAAAAATTTATATAACTATAAACACATATTTTAAGACATATATTTAAAAAATATATTAATTTTTATATTAATTTCTTAATAAAAATTTTGTTTTTTTTTTATTTTTAATAATTAAAAAATTTTTATTAAAATTTATTAATATTTAATATTCTTGTTTTTCAACTGTATATATTTATATTATAAATTATAAAATTTTTTAAAAAATTGGTTTATTTTTACTTTAAATATTTATTTTAATAAATAATAATAATAATTTAATGAAAATAATTTATAAATAAACTTGTTTTTTATATTTATAAAAAAGTTATTTTTAAAAAGTTATTTAATTTAAAATTTTATTTATTGAATTATAAGTGCAAAAATAATTCTAGTTTTTTTCTTTATATACTGTATAAGTATAATTGGTTGTTATTTATAACTTTTATTTTGCTAAAAAAAAATCAAAAATCATTTTTACTAATTACAATAGTTGTATAAATTTTAAAAATAATAACAATTTATATAATATATAATTGCTTTATTATGCTTTGTAATTTATCGCTCAAATTACATAAGTTCATAAAACTCATATTTATTTTCTTATTATATGTGGCCACATAAATCGGGCACTAATTTTTTAAAAAATCATGGCATACATAAGGAACATCCATATAAGCAAAGAATTTAATATGAAAACAAACTTATAAAAAAATAGGTGTACACCTAATTTTCGTCATCTATTTAAAGAAATTCATAAAAAAAATTGTGATATTAATAAATTTGATGATTACATAGATTTTAATGTGCATATGTCATAGAATTAAATAAACATATCACTTACTATATGTCTGAATCTAGTGAGTCAGATGGATTTTCCATTATAAACACATCCAAATTATTTGATTTGAATAAAATATGAGGATATTTAGTACAGCATCTTTCCTGTCCTCTGTACATGGTTCCTGTGGTTATTGTGTCTTCACTAAGTTGTTCATAGATGCATTTTGCATTTAGACGTTGATTTGAATTCTGAATCCAACACTGTTGGTACGTTTCTATATATTTACACGGAGTATGTAGGGTCGGATTTTCTTTTTTACCGAGTAATATATCCTTTACAATATCATTATGACTTAAACCTTTAAATGGTGGCGTCCCGCTTGAGATTTCCCATAATATCATCCCTAAGCTGTAAACATCTGATTTTTCAGTAAAGTCGGTATAACTTTCCTTATCCAAAATGATTGGATCTATAAATGCGAGTGCACCTTTAACCTCTGAAGTCTCCAAAATTTAATATAAGTTTATTGACATTCCAAAGTCGATTATCTTTGCTTTTAGTTTCCCATTAGATACTGATAAAACGACATTTCTAGTATGCTAATTATACAGTAATTTTAAATAAATCCAAATGGTTAAAAATAATTATTTAATATAATATGAAAAGATTTCCTTACCAGATCTCTGTGTAAAACATGATTATTGTGTAAGTAGCTTGAACCACATGCGACCTGTTTGCCGACATTGATCCGTTTCTTCCAGGTAATATTTGGATTGCTCAAGAGGTATTCACGTAAATCACCCAACTCTGCATGTTCTAAAATAAATACATAGGATTTATCGGGTGCTAAAGAATAGAATAATAGTTAATTTTTGTTAGATAATACTATAATTACCAGTGATAAACGTATTCCAAACATATACGTAAATACTTACAACGACTAATTACGTTAAAAAATATGTATATAATAGATAAGGAAAAGATATTTATATCAATACATTAATTTAATTTTAATATAAATGTTATTGCTTTAATGCCTCGGTTAGTCATATCTTAACCCGTAAAATTCTATGATGTTTTCATGAGTTTTTAGAGGAAAAGATTTTAAGCTACAGATTCAGATTCAGTACATTAATTCACATTATTTCTTTAAAAGAATAAAACACGTATAAGATATCATATACCTCTCTATTAACTTCCATTTCGTCTGAATCATTAACAATTTTTAAGATGACAGGTATTTTATTGTCATTATTTTCTAGTACTGCTTCTCGAACTTTTCATGTGCCATTGGTCACGTGATTAGCCTTAACCTGGTTTATATTTATTGATGAAAAGTTAATACACAGGCAAACTCAATAAAAGTCGGATACTTTATAACTCCAACTCGGGACACCGTGAGCTAAAACATAATTCATTCGTTCTTTTTTTTTATAATGTTTAAAATCCTCTTGATAAATCTGACTACCATGATCAGCCCGTCGTGCTTGACTTATCAAGTTTCCTTGTGTATATTGATAAATCATTTAAATAAATTTAATACTTACTAAAAGACTTTCAAATTCTAAAAACAAACAATTAAACATTATAAGTTTAGTTGTCTAAATATTTTGCAATGTATGGGATAAATCGAAAGTTATGTTCTTTTTTTCGTAAAACCAGGCCATTTATATACTTTATTTGGGATTTCTCTGGTTTTTTTGTTTGACGTGAATTTACAATTAATTTTTGTATTATGTGAATCCACGGTTTTTCCTAGGATACACAAAATGATGGGTAAAATACCACAAAACGTAGATAAGTTACTCGTGAAAGTATGGACGCAATTGAAATAGTGGTGATACAAAGAAAACTTAAATAAAGTTATTTGATTCTAAATTAGTTAAATGTCCATACGTAATGCATATTACTTTTAAAAATATGCCGAAATTAAATGCATAGTTAATACGTTGCCGATGAAAATACCCTGCTTATCATATATATTATACCATATTAAGCAGAGTGGAGCTTTTTGAAATTTCTGTAAGTACCAGGATTCTTACTGAGGAGAAATGTGTATTACAAGAAATACGTACATTGTTTTGTATGTAAACATAATGCTTAAGAATCAAGAATATTCTCATGGTTATTTTCTGGCACCAAACCTGCGGTACACGCTGCTGACATATCTTATCTGGGATTTTTTCAGAGTTTGTGCATGAGATCATGTGACATGGTGCTAAATTTTATACGAGGAGAATAGTTACTGAAAATGCTTTTCGCTTTCTACCACCCAGAAACTTTTTCTGATCATCCATAATCCATAATCACGATATTCCCCTCCATAATTCCGAACAAATATTTTAAAAGAGGTACATTCTTTTTTAATGCATCGTAAGGGAGACGGATGTGATAACAGCGTGCCGAAATTGCGGAAAGAGAAAGTCAAAATGCAGCGGAGAACAACCAAAATTCGAGAGATAATTTCTCTGGTAAATACTTAAAATTCATTTTTAAGAATGTCTTAATATATTAATTAACATTTTACCGTATAATAGATCGTTGTGTTAAAACAAGTGACTAATGGCAGTACGTGTAAAGTTCAGAAAGCAATACTAGAAAATGATGGTAACGAAACACCTGTCATCTTAAAAGAGGTTGATAATTCAGATGAAATGGAAGTTATTAGAGAGGTACATGATACGATGTG